CAGGGCTGACTCCACTATCTGCCTTCCCTGCTGGAGCCCCAAGGGTGCATCTCCCAGGGGGTGGAGCCTCCTTTAGGGGGACAGGTCCCTCCCTCTATGGGGTGAAACCCCTGGTCCTTAGGCCCTGATCTCCTGGAGTGTGTGTGTGACAACAAGGCAGCCTAGCACAGCCTGACTGTGGGCGTGCCCTGGGAGGGGTGGGGACAGGGACCAGCTTCATCAGCTACTCAGCTCTCAATTCTAGGGTGGGACCAGCCCTCCCTTGGCCCCTTGACACAGGGCAGATGCAGGTTCCCAGCTGGCACAGGTCATAATCTAGGGGGGGCCTCGGCTGGTCATCAGGTTCAGGGCCTCTGGGACAGAAGTTCAGGTCCCAGGGGCGGGAGCTTCAGGGGACAGGGTCACCGGGAGGATGTAACCAGGGTCCCTCGGGCACGGACTGATAGTGTGCACTTCCTATGACTGCTGAACAGAAGCCTCACCCCTGCCTACTGTTACCAGAGGCGACCCTCACACCTCTCCATGTGGGCCTCTCCCCAGGGCAGCCCCCAACATGGCAGAGGGTTTAAGCCCAGCAAGGACACAGGGTGGCAGCAATACAGAAGTCCCCTCTGTGTAACCCGCTGTTCCTGAGGGCCGTCCACCACCTGAGCTGCTCCCTGCTTCCCAGAGGGACTCCGTGATGCAGTCCCCACCCCAGGGGAGGGCTCCCGGGCCTGTGGAAAGGAGGGGTCTCTGCAGCACCTTGAGCAGCTGCCTCCCACAGAAATGCTCTCAGTAGGGACCGAAAATGTACCATATTTGTTGGTCCGAGTCCCCTGCACTTCATCCTCTCCCTGTTGGGGGTCAGGACCCTGCAGGTGAACGAGGTCACATGACCTGGTCAAGGGGACACTGCCCTGGGACTGGAGTGATTCCAGCATCGCTTCACACTCATGCACTCTCCTGCCTTCCAGGAGTCACGGAGCACGTGGGAGGGATTTCATGGCAAGATGGGTTCTGGGCTTTTCTCCTTCATTCCTCCTGGAAAACCACCCTCATTTCCTGTGCCCTCTGCCCTAGGCGTCTGCAGCACTGGCACCCAGGGTTCTGCAGCCCATGGTTCTGGAGTTGAGGATTCTGGAAACCCCATTTCTCTCAAAGGGATGCAAGGAGCTTCTGTATTGTTTCAAGTGCTCAGAAACCCAGACTTGCCTACAGGAGTCGAGCTGGAGAAGATGACCTGGGGGATGTTCTCCGGGGCAAAGTATGCAGCCGTGCTGCAGGTCTCCCCTGGGGCACGCGATCCGGAATGGGGCAACTTCCAGGACAAGTTCCAGAAGAGGGTCCATGTGCTCAACATGACGACCCTGAGGATGAACAACCTGACCCTGGAGGACACTGGGCTGTACCGGGTTCGAGACTCCTACACGAGAGGAAGACAATACGACCAGGATTTCCACCTGTGTATGGTGCGTGCAGAGGCCCCTCCCCCAGCCCCAGAGCTCACCTCCTTCCTCTGTCCCTGGAGGGTCCCCGCGCCTGGCTCGCAGGGGTCCCCCCAGACCCCAGCCTTCAGACTCTCTCTTCTCCCCTGGAATCAGGTGCAGGGTGTTCACCACAAATGCAGGCAGAGCTGAGAGTCACCCCAGGGATGGAATCACTTTGGTGCTTTGGGAGGGGAACCCCTGTGGGGGGAAGTGGGGATTTTGCCTTAACACTACTGTCCCCACAGGACTCGGGGTCCTCAGGCTGTCCCTGAGCTGTCTGTGCTGCTGGGACAGGTGAGGACACCTCAGGGGCTCACCACACCCCACCTGAGGGTCCTACTGTGAGGTTGGGCAGGAGTCAGACCCCAGAGCCTGTGCCCTGAGGTGCAGGTGTGGGCAGGGCTGTGCTCCTCTCTGGAGGCTCCGGGGAGAATCCATTTCTTTTTTTTTTTTTTTTTTTTTTTTTATTTATGATAGTCACACAGAGAGAGAGAGAGAGGCAGAGACACAGGCAGAGGGAGAAGCAGGCTCCATGCACCGGGAGCTCGACGTGGGATTCGATCCCGGGTCTCCAGGATCCCGCCCTGGGCCAAAGGCAGGCGCCAAACCGCTGAGCCACCCAGGATTCCCAAGAATCCATTTATTTTCCTGTCCCCTCTCCTGGTGGCACCTGCATCCCTGGGTCGAGGCCCCTTCCTCCACCTTCACAGACAGCACTGCTGGGATGAATACCTCTGGCACTGGGTCCCTCAGACCTCCTCTTCTGCCTCCTTCCACTTGGGAGGACCCTAGATCACATGGGGCCCGTTGAGGCGTCCAAACCATCTCTGGTTTAGTTTTTAGCTGGTTAGCAGCCTCAGACCTCATTCACGAAATCTAAGACACCTGCAGGTTCTGAGGGTTAGCACATGGCCATGGTTAGGGGACATTCATCACCTACCAGGATCCGGAAACCCACAGGAGAACCACACATATGGTTCTCCCGCCCCTTCTCCCAGTCCTTCTCAGCACCAGCCAGAGGCAGCACCCTCGAACTCCAGTGGTCCAGCTCTAAACCTCCACAGATGTAGAAATTCACACAACAGTTTCCTGCAAGGAGGGGCCCTAGGAGCAGCCCCCAACCCCTGGACCCTGGCTCTGAGCCTGCCCTTGAGCCTGCCCAGCACCAGCCTCATCTGTGTGCTCAGCAACCAGGGGCACCAGGAAACTGCCACCTGGGACCTTGGGGACATCTGTGGCCACGGTGAGTGCATCCTGCAGAGGGAATGGGCTCCCGGGACTCAGGCAGCCCTGGATGAGGGTTCTCCTATCTCTCCCCATGTTTATGGCACCACCTGCCACCTGGTCACCCCATCCAGAGTCTGGCAGGCACATCCACTTGCTTCTGCCCTTGGGTGCCATTCCCAGGCTCCTCTCCCCCCCCCCACCCTCACCCCTGCTGGTCCAGGCAGCACCCAGCAGAGACCTCTGCCCACCCTCACCCATCATTCCCTGTGTGTCCACGGTGGTTTTCAGGAGGGAAGTTGGGGGATGTCAGGGGTCTGTGCCAGCTGAGGGGATGTGAGGCAGCGACTCCCTCAGGATTCAGGGCCGGGGGCTCCTCTGCTCGATTCTGGGCTCACAGACACACGTCACCCCACCTGCTTGGCCTGGGTCCCAGATGTGCCCTGCTGTCCTCAGCCCCCAGCCTCTGGTCAGGCTCCTCCCTCTGCCCTCAGCCCTTCCAGGTCAGGATTCTCACTCCCCCAACCCCCGTCCAGGGACCCCTTGGCTCCAGCTGGCTCTGGGCCCTGACACCCAAGCAGTCCCCCTGGGGCCGCCACTGGGGGCAGGTCCAGCATGAAGAGAGTTTGACCCCGGGGTCTGGGCCTCGGGGGCTCAGGCCCCGCAGGAGCTACTGCCGTCCTGCCCTCACACCTGCGTCCTCTCAGGAGCTGCCAGGAACCCCCACACTGAGAGTGAGGCTCTGGGCCAGGATGAGCCTCCTCTGCAGCCCCAAGCCCTGGACGGCAGCGGCCACGTCTGCGTCTCCTGTGAATTCCTGTCCCTGCTCGGCCCCGGGCTGCTTGCTAAAAGTCCGTGTTTCCCTGAGTGAATGAGTGACCCGGTGCCCGTGCCCCCTCGGCCTTCCCGCCTCCTCCACCAGTTTTTGGGGCCCCATTGCCTCAGTATCCCCGATCCCAGGGGAGGTCATCACTCAGGGACCCAGTGGACCTTCTGGAAAGAGGCCCCTGCCTCCCTCTCACCCTCCTACCTGGCTCCTCCCTGCTTGGTCCCCCTCCCACCTGCCCCAGTGGGTGCTGGAGCTCCAGGGCTGGCGAGGTGCCCCCTCCCTGTTCATGGCCCTCCTTCCTGGAAGGCCGCACCCACCCTGCCTGTCTGCTCCCTGCACTCCTCCCTCAGGACGAGGTTTCCCATCACCTCCTCCAGGAGGCCCTCCCTGACCACCTGAGTACAGGCTGAGAGCTCCTGTGCCCTGGGATGGCTCTGGCTGGCTCCCTCTGACATGTTCTCACCCTCCTCCCACTAAGGTGTCCTAGGGGTGGGCACCATGTCCTGTTCCTCTCAGCACCCGGGCCTCAAGCAGGAGCTCGGGAAGTGTTGAGTGAAAGCACCTGCCATGCTGCTCCCTCAGCTTCTGAGCAGGTGCCTTCAGAAGTGTCCATGTGCTGTGCAATGGGCATCTGTTCTTCTCTCAGTCCTTAACCTTCTCCATCTCTCTGTGGAGGGAAGCAGATCCACAGGGACAGGCTGATGCCTCCCAACTACCCAGCATCCTGGGGACTGTTGTGGTCCTGCTGCTGATCCTGGGAGCTGGACTGTTCCTCTGGAGGACACGAGTGAAGAAGAGCCTGGAGCCTGGGAGAGGCAGGTTGCACTTCTCCTCCCTGGGCCCACACACCTCCCTCCCCTGGACCCTGGGCTCCCTTCCTCCTGCCTTTACTGCTCAAGGGATGTCCCTGCAGGAGGCTGGTGGGGGCGGCCATGGCCTTGGGGTCATGGAGGGGAGGGTACAGGTTTCCAGGGCTCAGACTCCAGCTCCTTCTGTGTATGACCCAGGTGCCGGGTCCCAGGAGGAGCATAGGGACCCAATGGGTGTCATCCACTCTGCAGAGCTGAGCCAGCAGGAGTCTGGATACAGCAGGGACCAGGTGAGGCTACAAGTGGGGGCAGCCTGGGTCCTCCCTCGTCCCTCTGTGCCCAGGTGTGTGCTTGTCAATCCCTGTCTCGGCAGGGTGTGACTGCAGTGCCCTGGGAAACCTTTCCTGGATATCCATTATTAGGTATGATCTTATTCTTCTGTATACTTTTCTATGCTTTCTAAATTTTATCTAATTTACATGGATTAATCTCATCAGAAACCCCCTTAGTTTTCAAATTGTGTGCCTGTTGCTGACAAGACCAGAGCTGGCTGAGAATGAAAGGGGATATAAAGCCTGAGCTTTGGGGCGGAGAGAGGGAGGGACCAAGCTCTTATGGGCAGGGGCGGAAGGAGGGCTAGGAGGAGGGGCGGGGCAGAAAGGGAGAAGAGGGTGTTCTCTGCTTTCTACAGTTATGGAGTCCCTGTGGGGCCGCTGTTTCCCCTCCCAGGCTCTAATGCTCAGGATCCCCCTGCTCCTGGGTAAGTGACAGTTCAGAGAAGCAGCTCTGGAGAGGGTGTGGGCTGCGGGGCCAAGAGGCAGGGGTGGGGGAAGAGGGTGAGCAGGGGAGGCTTGCTGCTGCCAACATCCTGATTTCTCCAGGGCCTGGAAGTGTTGAGGGAGAAGAGGGGGACTAGAGCTTTTTGGAGATGCCCTCAGATTCCCCAGGCTGGGGAATCCACTGTCAACCCTCTGTTAGGACAGCAGTTATTTGGCCTCCTCTGGAGGGGCGGGGGGCAGCTTAGATCATCAGTCTCACTGTCCAGAATCCTGTTCTGTCCTCGGGGCTGTGTCTACACACTCAGGCGCTGTGTGCACCCCCTACACGTCCCCAGCCTGCTTGTGTCCCGGCTCCCAGGCTGAGGGCACGCACGTGAATGACGGACCAGGACAGCCTTCCATTGCCCTGGCATCAGGGACAGCTGAGCTGTCATCTTCTGCAAATGTGGGGTGGGGCAGGGAAAGGGAAGTTCCCTTCTTAACTGCCTGTGACCTTTTCCTGGGTTACAAGCTATTTCCAGGCTCTTATGGGGGTAGGGGGTGACCTGCAGGCAGCCTCATGTGAACCAGGCTCCAACCATGTGGTCTGGACCCACCCTTGTCCCCACGGCACCTCACTGGCCCACAGGGGGCTGAATCTGTGGTCGGACCCACTGGGTCACTCGGTCTGGTTCTGCCCCATATTGGCCAGAAGATTTTTGTTGTGGTAGCAAAGTTCCCAGGCTCTCTGTGCCCCCTACCCCTCTGCCCTCCACACAGAGGTGACACTGTGGGAACTTTTTAAAAAGCTCAGGTCCCCTTGCACATCAGTGAGAGAAGAGGCACCTCCATCGTCACTACAGGAGCAGAGGGCACAAGCACAGGGGGTAGAGGAAAGAGACAGATCAGGGGCAGGAACACGACAGACAGTCGTCCTCACAGGAAAACACACAGATGCAAATTGAAATTTCTGGTCACCCTTCTTGCCTGTGAGATGAACATGCTTGTGTCTCTCATGTTGAGACCCCGAGTGCAGTGACAGGGGTAGGACAGGCACTCTCATGTCTCCCCAGCACCTGTGTCATGCCGAAAAGCTACTGGCGGTCCCTGTGATGTGCAGAGACTGGGGACCATTTCCCACATTGACTCCGTGTCCCTGGTCATTCCCCGTCTGGGCTGGAAGCCCAGGGAAGACCCCATCATGCAGAAATTCCTGCGCAGACATTCCTTTTGTTCCACTTGCAGCAGTGAGACCATGGAAGCGTCCAGAGGGCAGGTTCCCATAGACGTGGGTCAGCATGAAAGTGGGGACAATGCCGCGCTGGTGGGGAGGTGGGCTGGTGACAGGGAACAAGGACGTGCTCAGAAGGCCGGGAAGGAAGCAGGTGGGAAGCACCCTCCAGAGCTCAGGTGCAGCAGGGCTAGAGGAGCCGAGGTCTGGTCCCCCCGCCCCACTGGTATCTGCTGTTGGCAAGAGTGAACTGTGCTCTGTCACTGTCCCTCCGCTCCACCCCAGCCTCTGGGAACTTGATGACATTTGTGTTTCTCTGCCGGGAACAGCTGCCCTCACCCCAGTTTCCTTGCCCATCTGAGTCCACTTCCTCCTCTGCCCACAGATGCTGGGGTTTCCTGATCCGGGTCAGGGAGCCTGTGGTGAGCCATCAGGGAGCCCTGCTGGGGCTCTCTGGGAGATGCAGGTACATCCAGGCTCTCCCCCCGTGTCCCCAGAGCGCTGCCCGTGTTGTGCCGGCACAGCATCTGTCCCCAGTGTCAGAGAGCTGGGAGCGGGCCAGCGAGAGGAGGGCCCCGGGAGCCCCCTGTCCTCCAGCAGCCCCACGTGTGTGCTCTGGGCTGCCCTCCACCCCAGGGGCTGGCCGTGCCCAGATCAGGAGGGCCCAGTGTCCCTGCCTCAGCCACGGGGACGGCACCTCTCCTGCCGCCACAGCCAGGCTGCCGGGAGTCCCCTGAGCTGGGAGACGACAGAGGCGCAGCTGGGGCCAGGTGGGTGTCCCAGGGATGTCCTTGCTGTCCTTCAACACTGACAGATACAAGACTCTTTCCTGGGAACAAATCTTGTTGTCAAGCAGATTTGCGCAGTGCTGCTTTCATGGTGAACTCATTTTTATTAAGAATTGAAGTTGATTGAACAAATTTACCCTTGTTCTTTCTCTCAAAGAATAATTTTTAGGGCTTCTGGGTGCTGTAGTGGGTAGAGCATCTGACTCTTGATCTCAGGTTTGTGAGTTACAGCCCCACGTTGTGTAGCGAGCCTGTTTAAAACATAGGCTCTGCTCATTCTGCTCCAGCCTTGGCTCTTCATCTGTCCCCATGACGACCATGATCATTGCTGCACTGGGACCTTAGCACACGCTCTTCCTATGCCTGGAGTAATTAATTCTGCCCTGTCAGCATCCGGGACTCACCTTAATTGTCACCACTCTTAAAGGCCTTTCTTTATGACACCCACACCCCACACCTCTAACCAAACCACCTGCACGGTGTCACCTTATCCCAAGTGTCACTTTGGTTCCTGGTTACCAGCACAAAGATGAACTGATTGAATGTAATATTAGTAGAGTGCAGGTGGCCCTAGATGGCTCCAGGTGACCATCACCTGCCCCTCCACCATCCACACCGGAAGTGACACCACCAGAGCTGGTCCAGTCACAGGAGGTCTGTGACTCCTGATAGAGACATCACAGCTCTCATCCCAGCATCACTGAGTCTGGACACCTGCCTGGCTGCAGGACTGCTGCCACCACTGCCTCAGGTGACAGTCATTGTCAGCGGCACTGACCCTGTGATACTGGCTCCCATGGCACTAGCTCCAGGTAGAAAGTCTGGAGTGGGGGCATCTGACCCCAGAGCCCAGGTCCTGTGTCATCTCAGCTGCAAAGGATGCCAGGCAGTGGGTACCCGGCATTTCCAGCTTCTCTGGGGGGATGTTGGCTCTGGTTCATGAGGAGACAATTCCCCAAATGTGAGAAGTAAGTTCAGAGGCCGAGCAACAGGTAAGGAATCTGTGCCAGTCCCTTTCTGTGTTTTTTATGGAACTTAAAATGATCTGAAATCATGTGGTGTTGGTGCTTCCCTGCCCTGGCGCCCTGACTAGGATGGGAGCTCCGTGAGAGCAGGCACTGGTCCCCACTGTGTCCTCGGTCACCACTGTATCCCCAGCACCCAGCCATGCCAAGCTGGCCCAGCATGGATTACCCAAGGCGGGCTAAGGGTCCAACGGAGTACAGATCTGTATCAGACAAGGAGCATGCAGGAAAAAGACGATGGTCACATGTCACCTGACTGGTACGTGAGACCAGCACTGACAGTAACCACTGGGTTGCCTAATGGTAGAGGGTCATGAGTGACCTAAGGAGGAACAGTGTCACAGGACTGGTGGGCCTGAGGCCCTGCTGCCATGTGCTGAGGAACACGGGGCAGTAGCAGACATGCTGAAATGGTTTTCTTGTGTCATAGACAAAAAAAGGGAAAGTTAGGTCATAAGTTATCAGCTTCCATATTGCCCAGTGTTTCCCCAGATTAGAGCAAAGAGCACATTGGGTGTCAGGTGCAAGAAAGAGTGTGTCCGAGCTGGGAGGGTGACACACATATGCCTGACCCAACGCTGTGTGCCCTAGGCAAGGCCCGTGCTGAGCAAGCACCTCTGTAGCTTTGCTTCCTCGGCTCTGAAACAGGAGAGGCTCCTCCTCTTTAAGCATGCCAGTGATGTGATGGGACAGCAGGTGCTACAGCAGCGTCACTCCTGTCCGCTTCTTTTTTCCCCATCTTAGCTATTCCCTCACCAAGCTTCCAGACTGCGGCCGACCCCAGCTCCTCCCACACCCTGGAAAGGACCGTTGGGGACTCTGTCCAGCTGCACCTGATCTCCTCCTTGTCCCCTAATGTCCGAGAGGTTGAGTGGAGTTGGCAATCTGAGCCCGAGAAACAACAGTTCCTGGTGTCCTGGAAGCCTGATGACTCTGGTCCTGACTGGTATGAGCTTGAAGGAAAATTCAGGAGCAGTCTCTCCCTGACAGAGATGGCAGTTTTGAGCATCAGGAATCTCAGTACGGAAATGAGTGGATGGTATACAGCAAATGTCAAATTCCGCACAGGAAAATCCCAGAAGGAAGTCTTTAGACTCTGTGTATATGGTAAGGTGAAGCCCAGTCAGGAATTCCAATAATCACTTGATTTAAAGTATGTTGGCCTAAACAGGTTTGATAAAATCAAAACTTCCTTAGGAATATTTGCATCTCTTTTGATGCCTTAACCATAAAGGCTAAATTTTAAAGATTTCCTCTTAGGAAAAAGTAGCTAAAATGTCTTGAAAAGTATAGGCAGCACATGAAATGGAGCAGGGGTAAGAAGCCATCCAAAAGGATAAAAAAAAAAAAAAAAAAAAACACTATCTTCCATTGCAAAGTACTGCAAAATAGTTTATTAGCAATACAAAATTGTATCAGAATCTTCTTAACAAGTTGGTCAAAAACTAATTAAAAACTCTGAAGTGACCCAAAAGTTGGGCAGAAAGAAAAAAGGAAACCTGGACATCAGAACAGTGAGGAACAACCCTAGGAGGGAGATTGAGTGTTAGAACTTGACACTGGGGGCAGCCTGGGTGGCTCAGCGGTTTAGCGCCACCTTCAGCCCAGGGTGTGATCCTGGAGACCTGGGATCGAGTCCCACATCGGGCTCCCTGCATGGAGCCTGCTTCTCCCTCTGCCTGTGTCTCTGCCTCTCTCTCTCTCTCTCTCTCTCTCTCATGAATAAATAAATAAAACCTTAAAAAAAAAAACTCGACATTGGTAAAACACTTTCCACCACTTGCCCTGCACCCACTTCCCCAGGAGGACTGTGGGACAAAGCCTGTCCTAGAGCAAGTGGAGGACACAAGGGGACCCAGGCCTGGCCCCTGGAGCCCCAGGACCAGTGAGTACCCCACCCCCAGGAGGGGAGACCCATCACTGCCCTCCTCGTGCCCCCCTCCACCTGTGCTTCCCTTCACCACACCTGGCTGGCCCTCTCTTTCCTCCTTCATGGATACTGGGGGCTCTTGGGGGGTTGCCCATCCCTCACCCCTCCCTGCATGTGGATAGATGTTCTTGTCTCCGGTCCTTTCCTGGACCATCTTTCTCCCCCTCTCACTGGAGTTACTTGGATGTGGTGGCCTCTCCACCTGGCAGCCCTGTGGCCTGCCCTGCCCTCTGTGGCACCTGCCTGAGGCTTTCCACAGCTCCCAGCAGGCACTCAGCAGGTGTCTCTGCTCTAGGGAGATGTCAGCAATGTGTAAAGGAGACCTACAGAAATGCTCCTCAAGTTTCTCAGAGTTTTGATTCTTCAAGCCTGATTCACATTCCCTCATCTGTTGAAAAGAGCGTGTAACATTCACATAATCCAACTGCTGAGAAAATTCATACCTAAAAGCATAAGCTTCTATATGTCCGTGTGTGCCCCCAGCACTTGGTAACAGACATTCTGTTTGTTTGTTTGTTTGTTTGTTTATTTTTAGATTTTATTTTTTTCATGAGAGACACAGAGAGAGAGGCAGAGACATAGGCAGAGGGAGAAGCAGGCTCCCTGCAAGGAGCACAACATGGGACACGATCCTGGACCCAGGATCACACCCTGAGCTGAAGGCAGACGCCCAACCACTGAGCCATCCAGGAGTCCCCATTTGATTTTATATTTAAATTATTACCTGTTAATTCAGCTATTTTTAAAAACTACTTTAAAGGATTAAAGTAGTTTTTTGTTGTTGTTTGTTTGTTTGTTTTTGCATTTGGTCCTTTACCCCAGGGTTTCCAGCAGCGTCTGGTTGGATTTTCCAGTTCACTTTCTAACATCTCTCCATCTCCAGGCGCCGTTGTTAGGGCCACAGGAAGAAACTCTCTCCGTGTGGCCTGCTTCGTGTCAGCTACCTGAATCTGTATTCTGTCCACAGTGACCACTGTCACACCTGCCAGCATCTTGTTGACCTGTCCTTGTGGACGGATTTCCGTCTCTGTCTCTTCAATCTCTCTGTGTCATTAGGTGATGCGCCGAGCACATGGCTGCAGGATCGAGGCGGGGTCTGTGTGCAATCGGGGGGCGTCCTGCCCTCAGACACAGTTCAGGCTTACACGGTGGACCTGCTCCCGACCTTTCATGGCCTCTGTTCACCATTGGTCAGCATCCTTGGCTTGCCCTTACTCGGATGGATAGCGTTCTCGTCAATCTAATCGTCTCTGGTGTGCTGGAAGTTATACCACCTTGTACTTTAATCCTAGTGGACACGAATCTTAAATTTTTACTGCAACATTTAAAGATAATCAGTATTTCTTCTTTCTCTAAATAAAACAAGAACTTCAGCGTGTTTTTCCCCTGTATCCCCAACTCCTCTCATGTGGTGTTTATTGCACATATGAGAATAGACACGATTATTATCACCTGTATAATCGCCATGTATATATATTATTATAGAATTTGGGGGGCACCTGGGTGGCTCAGTGGGTTAAGCCTCCGACTCTTGATTTCTGCTCAGGTCATGATCTCAGGTGATGAGATCGAGCCCCACGTCGGTCTCTGCTCTCAGCGCATAGTCTGCTTGAGATCCTCTCCTTCGGCCTTCTCCCTGCTTGCCTAGCTCTCTCTCCCCTTCTCCCTCCAATACATAAATACAATAAACCTTTTTAAAAAAGAATTATCACACTCATGATCACTGAATTCTGTTGACACAACTGAGCATGGAAGGGCCTCAGCCCTCTGCCCTGGGCTGGGAGTCAGAGCCCCCGGGCAGTAGGTCCCTTCCCCAGGGCCATAGTCAGGAACCTCCCACCGCTGAGTCACTTGGTGGACCTGCGGGTCCCCTGCCATGTCCTCCAATGCTGAACCTCACTTTCTCTTTTGTCTCCTTCTGCCCCAGAGCCCATCCCCCACCCCCAGATTGTGATTCATTCACCAATCAACCCAGCAGGCTGGTGCCAGGTCAGGCTGGAGTGTGAGACCCCAGGATCTACAGAGAACTGGACAGTGACCTGGCTGACTGAGGGCCTCCCCAGGGAGCTGGAGCAGAGCGGGGCTCTGAGGCCAGCCCCCAGCTCCAGGAATGTAAGCCTGAGCCTGCCCCTGAGCCAGGTGAATGGCTACCTCACCTGTTTGGTCAGCAACCCTGTGGAGGAGAAGAATGCCACCTTGCCCCTGCAGAGCATCTGTCTGGTCAGGGGTGAGTGGGACCTGCTGGGAAGGGCTGGCAGGGGCGGGACGTGACCAGGGGGGCTCAGGGAATCAGTGGGACAGAACAGCCGTGGGAGGGGCTCTCTGTGGAGAACCCCAGAGACAGGTGCATGGCCACAGGGTCTTGGTGGAACCTGGACCAGTGCCTGGAGATGCTGTGTCCCCAGGACCTGCCTGTGGGGCTGGCCCATGGGCACTCCCTTTTCAGCTTCAGGGAGGCTGGGAGGCTGACTCTGACAGAGGATGCAGGCAGGGGATGGGAAGACTTGGAGGGCACCTGCCCCCAGCCCTGGGATCTCAAGTCCCTAGATCCAGATGGTCTGGATGCTAAGGTCCTTTCAGGCTAATAAACACTGGTTTTTTACTCATTTTAGACATGACCTTTCTGAGGGTGGTTACCACCTCTGAGTGCATAAACCACAGTTCAACGCTCCTCGGAGCAGTGTGAGCACCTGCAGTCACCGCAGCCAGCTACCACACTTCCACATCTGCTTCAGGGTTCCCCTTGGCCATATAGGAAGGGAGTATACACAGTAGTACATGATAGATAAGGGAGGAGCCCTGACTGATTTCTTAAAATGCCAAGAACCACAGAACAGGAACAGTGTACTTAAAGAAGGAGGTTAATAATCAGTGTGGCTGCCCTGTCCCACCAGGGTCCTCCTGAGCTCTGACACCCCACCTCTGTGCAAGCTCCTCCTTGCCCTGTCCTTACTCAGCCCCCTAGCATGGATACTCACACCAGGCCAAGAGGCACTATGTACTAGGTGGAGGGAAGCCTCAGTCCGCATGAGCCCGCACTAAAGGAACTTGCAGGGCAGTGGAGGCATCACCACATCCTGGCTGTGTAACTTGGACAAGTTACTGAATTTCTGGAGCCTTTGTTTGAGATGGGTGTTAATTATATCTACTTCTTAGGGTTGTTTAAGTTATCAGTACAGTATGTGACACACAGCATGTCAATAAACATCAGGTAATAGTTCATGGTCAAGGAGGAGTACGTGTATAAACATGAAGCTGCATGACAGCTGCTGAATTTGAGGCAAATACAAACTATATGGTTCAAATACAAAAGGCAGAAAACTGAGTACTTGCTGCAGGACTTGGGAAAGCATCGCAGAGAAGGGAACACCTGAGCTGGGCTCTCCAGTATGAGCAGTTTTCTTGTGGCAGTGTGGGAAAGATATCCCAAACCGTGAGCAGAACATGCGCTGGCAGCCCCAGAGCCTTGCGTCCTCTCCCCTTCCTAGACTGGTTCTCTCCCGGGAGTCTGCCAGGGGAGAACAGGGGCAGGCTGTGGGGATGAGGGGCACATATGGCTGCTGGGAACCTCTGAGGTCTCTGGGAAGAAGCGGCACAGAAAGCCTGGCAGAAGGACCAGTGGGGTGACCTGGTAGCGTGCAGGAACTTGCCAGGGCTGCAGCAAGGATATGCACGTGGGACACAGGCTCAGAGCCAGGGGGTCCCCCCTTCTCCCTCACATGCCCAACAGGCCTGATAGGGGCACATTTGACACCAGGCTTTTTATTATTTTTTTTTAAGATTTTATTTATTTATTCATGAGAGAGGCAGAGACATAGGCAGAGGGAGAAGCAGGCTCCATGCGGGGAGCCCAATGTGAACTCGATCCCAGGCCCCTGGGATCATGACCTGAGCCAAAGGCAGATGCTCAACCACTAAACCACCCAGGTGCCCCTTGACACCAGCCTTTGATGGCAGGTTCTCCTGACCACAAATGGCTTTGGAGAGGCGTCCTGCCCATGCTTCTAATGATGAGCCTGGCTGGTGGAGTGTACGTCTGCATGAGGAAGAAGATGCAGTCCAGGAGGGGTAGGTGATAGGGAGAGCCTGAGGGGGGAGGGCAGTGGTTGGAGGGCCTCCCCGCTCCCTGGGAGGGGGCCAGGCTGGTAGATGGGGCTTATTGACCTCCCCTGTGAACTATCCGGGTGGAAGGCTGGGACCCAGCAGTACCGAGGGTAAGGACTGTGTTCATGCCCAGAAAGATGGTGGAGGCAGGGAGGGGCAGAGGCCTGGGACCTGACCTTTCAGCCCATGGAGCAATGGCTGCCCTACTCTGGGGCTGATGAGCGGTCATCTCAATCCCACGTGCTCTCGCTGTGCATGTGCTGTGTGCAGGCCGGCCCACTCTGCTGCCCACAGAGCCAGGCTCAGCCAGTGTTCCTCAGGCCCTTCCCACAGAGGAACCTGCTGGCCTGCAGACTGGTGGGGCCAACAGCCACTGCCGTCCCGACGTGGAGATGAGCCTCCTGAGACACCACAAGGTGGGTCCAAAGGAATCAAAGCACGTCAGCCAACTTGTGCTCCGTGGGTGTGAGTGCCAGCCAGTCCAGGGCACTCTGCTTCTCATCGGGCTCTGGTCCAATCCTTGCTTTGGACAATATGGGTGTTGTGTCTGGAACTGAGAGTAAAGGGTGGAAGCCAGTGACAAGGATGATTCCTCACTCATACGTGCACAATCTCATCAAGTCCTCGCCACCACCCAGGGAGGAAGGATGGTGGAGCAGGAGAGGGAAGGAGACAGGCTCAGTGAGGTGAGTGACTGACCCCAGGGCATATGACTTGGCAGGGGAAGGAGCAGGAGAGAGCCCAGGCTGCCCTGGAGGGATTCACCACCACCCATAAACTCAAACTCAAGCCCTGGTGGGGGGAGGCAGGAATGTAAGGGACTGGCTGTCAGGTGCAACTGTCATCCATGGAAGACCCAAGGCAAGTAAGAATGGGGGACTCTGGCGGGGCCTGGAGACCAGGCAGACCCAAGGTCCCAGAGAGCATCAGGGAAGCCCGTCCCCCACACCACCCACCCCTGACCTGCCTCAGATTCTGTATTAAGGCTTCCCTTTGAGGTCCTTGGAGGACATCTCAGTGCTACTGGCCCTTGGTTGGAAATGGTCACAGATAGCATGATTCATCGAGGGGAAGGCCTGGAGGCAGTAGTAGCTGGAGGAGCAGGGGCCACGCACCAGTTCTCAGACAGAGCTCACGTCAGAAATACCTGGGGGGATTGCTTCCTGCCCCCCACCTCACCCCCTTGAGCTTGTTTCAGCGGCTCTAGGGCAGACCTGGGACCTTGAGTTTCTAACACATTCCCAAGTGATGGCTCCAGCTTTGGGGAACCACTGGACTAAAATCGAGCAGAGGGAAAGCCAATAGAGCCACTGTCTGGACTCCCAGGACAGCCGTGGCTGGGTCATCTCCTCTCCCATCCTTTGACTTTGCCAAAGGGAGACAGGTCTGGGATCCCTGGGTGGCACAGCGGTTTGGCGCCTGCCTTTGGCCCAGGGCGCGATCCTGGAGACCCGGGATCGAATCCCACGTCGGGCTCCCGGTACATGGAGCCTGCTTCTCCCTCTGCCTATGTCTCTGCCTCTCTCTCTCTCTCTCTCTCTCTCTCTCTCTCTCTCTCTCTCTCTGTGACTATCATAAATAAATAAAAATAAAAAAAAAAAGGGAGACAGGTCTGCATCATTGACCCACAGACCACCAGGACCTTAGAAATCCCCTGGACAGATCTCAGCAGTTTATGGTAGGGGAAAGTGGGATCCAGAAGGAATGCTAAGGAAGGCAGGAGGGAAATCATGGTGGCACCAGGTAGAATCGGCTCTCCTTGCTCCCAGGTGAGTGCACTGTGCACGGTCCCCCAACTGTCTCAGCACCTGTCACTCTGTGACTTTCCATCTCAGCCCCTCGGAGGTATGTTCCCATCTGACCGATGCCACGGGGAGCTCAGGAAGTAGACCCTAATCCCAATACCCACACGGGAGGAGCACGGGCGGGAACAATATGGGGCTTCAGGTGACCTCTCACCCAGACCTTCAGCCCTGCACCCTCCATCTCTCTGCCCCTGGGGAGCTTCCCAGCCTGATGAAGACAATTATTTCCCTCCCAGGACACAGGGAAACAAGCACAGAAGAGAGATGGGGTTGGCATGAGGAGCGGAGTTGGGAGAAGTGGGTGTGAGGTTCTCATGCCAACTTCACCTTTGACCTGACAAAACTAGTGCCTGTGGTTAAGTTTCTTCTTTTACAAAATGCATATTATAGGAATAATACCTTGATCTGCCACTTTGTGGTCTTTCAAAGCACTCTCGCGATGAGAGTGGCCAAGGTGGGTTACGGATTTGTCCAACTAACATTTAATGAGTGTCTACTCTATCCCAGCACTGTTCTGATCTGGGACACAGAGGTCAACAAAACAACAAAAAATCCTTGGCCTCTGAGTATATACATTCTAGGTAGGGTGAGGGGAGAATAGCAAATAAAATAAATGAGCAAAATGTGAAGTGTAAGGTGGTGATACGTGCTCAGGGGAAAATATGGCAGGAAGGGGTGGGGTGTGACGTCAGCTAGGGGAAGGGAGACACCAAGGGAGCAAGGTGGGGGTCTGGGGGAAGGGGGAGGAGAGGGGTAGCACCCAGGGGAAAGGACAGAGACTGCCATGTTCAAGAGGAAGTTCTGCGCTGAGCTATGTTTTGGGGTTACCGCAGTTGAGACAGGAAGTACCTGAAGAGGAATAGCTTGAGTGACCTCTGTGCTTGATTCTTTGAAGCTGACCACAAGCACCTCTGCTTGAGTCACAGAATGACATGGAGAGGAGTGGCGGCCACCCCCTCAGCTCGGAGTGCACCCCAACAGTCTACACTATCTACGAGAAGGTCCGGCTGAGCCGAGAGCCCCAGGAAGACACCTAGGTCAACGAAGATGTCAGAGCATGAGGGGCCTTGGCAAGATCTGCCCCACCCTACACTCCACCTAAGGCCCCCCAAATCCCTCCTTAGGTGGAACGAGGACAAGCCCCAAGGTCTTCCTGCTGTACCCCCCAAGACAGTAGAACAGCACCACATGTCCCTGGGCTCCTCACAAACTTCTTCTCACTTCACAGGTCTTGAACATTGACCATGCTGCCTGAGCGTCCAGCACGAGAGACTGGTCCTAGGGCGGGCAGTTGGATTTCCGACCTTGACCCACTTATTCCGGTGAGGGAATACCCATAGTCAGGCAAGACCTGCAGAGGCATTTCTGGGAACAGAGATGTTTTCCTGGAATTGGGCGGGCCTTGGATGGAGGACCGCCAGATGTCACTGCCCAGCCCACCCCCATGAACAGAGGAGGGATGGCCCTGGGAAGGTCAAGTCCAGGGTCAGCTTCAGCTCTGCCAGAGGAAGGAAACAGCTCCTGAGCTCCATCACCTGCAGGCTTACTGTAAACACCAGAAACGCACTATCCCAAGGTCTCTTCAAAGTTCAAGCAATTTCTCGACCCTTTTTTAATTACTTAATATATGTGAATTGCAAGAAAGTCAAAGGCATGTCTCCTTGAAATTATATTTCATCAGTTTTGTTGCAAATAGGATCCTGTTCCTATTGTATCTTCTAATTAGTTGTTAAAATAACATATTAAACACATATTGTCACATCGCTGTTTCTCTACTGCTTGAAACAGTTTTTCATTTGATCCCTTTGAATTTCTGGGCAAAGAACCATATTATCGACAAATAATTATAATTTTTCCTTCCTTCTTTCCAATTTTTATGCTTCATTCCTCTCCTGTTGTCTCACTCTGCTGGCAAATACCTCCCAGACCATGTTTAAGAGGAGTGATTCTGAAGCACATCCTTGTTTTGTTCCTAATTTATTGTAAGTGCTCCGAGGGCATCCTTGTTATTAGTAGATTTCCTCCTATTGAATTATTCTTGTGGTATTGGAATAAATCCCAGTTGATGTATTATTCTCTTATTGTGCTACTGTTTGATAATATTTTTATTTGGGATTTTGCATCATTCATAAAAAAAATTCTCCTGTACTTTTTAATGCTTTACTTTGTTTGGTATTTGAATTATGCTTACTAAAGATTCCTTTTATCTCCACTTCTTGTAATAATTCAATAAAAATTTGCTTTCTAATCTAAAAAAAAAGATTCCTTATTAAAAAAAAGAAAAGAAAGAAAAGAAAAGAAAAGAAAGAAAAGAAAAGAAAAGAAAAGAAAAGAAAAGAAAAGAAAAGAAAAGAAAAAAGGAATTCCCAGAGCAGCTGGCTGGCTCAGTTGGCTGGCTGAGTGTCTGCTTTCTGTTCAGGTCACAATTTCAGGGTCCTGGGATGGAGCCCTGCATCAGGCTCCCTGCTCAGTGGAGAGTCTGCTTCTCCTTCTCCCTCTGCCCCTCCCCCTGCTCATGCTCGCTCACTCTCTCGCTCTCTCTCTCTCAAATAAATAAAATCTTTTTGAAAATAAAAAAAAAAGAATTCCCATCACCCAGTGTTCATTTAAATTATTTTTATTGTAAATTCTTAAAGATATAGAAACCTGGAACCATGTAAAAATGTCTTGTGCTTATTGCTTTTATACTATAAATTAAATATATATAAAGTAGATAAAAAGAAAGCAACAAAACAACAAGCAATAGTTTTTCAAACTAGTATTCAAACCGCAACTTTAACGTAAGGCAATGGGGGGCAGCCCTGGGTGGCTCAGCGGTTTAGCGTTGCCTTCACCCCGGGGTAGGATCCTGGAGGCCCCAGCATCGAGTCCCACGTCAGGCTCCCCGCATGGAGCCTGCTTCTCCCTCTGCCTCTGTCTCTGTCTCTCTCTCTCTCTCTCTCTCTCTCTCTCTATGTCTCTCATGAATGAATAAATAAAATCTTGAAAAAAAAAAACATAAGGCAATGTGTGTTTTTGTTTCGCTAAAATGAAATCATTAATGTTGGGATTATAGGAAAACACTGTAGCTTCAACGCTCTTTCTATATTTAATTTTTAAAGCCTTAATGCAAACAATGCTAGTTCATATACAATTGCTATATATCAACTATAACACTTGATTAAAGTCTTTGTTTACCATCCTTAACCATAACTCTGCCAGGTGACAATCGGTAGATCTGTAAAATCGTTTCACTTATCTTAAAAAAAATTACCACCACAGCATTGTTAAAATCCCCACTCCATACATACCTATCTACTTACTGCTGGAATCATAGAATAAAAAAGTTCTTCACTGTGTATTTGTTGCCATTGTGGGTGTTTATTATATTCCTGCTAATGAACGATTGCAAGATGGTGCCACAAAGATAGATTCCCATCGGTCCACTGGCACATCAGATGAGCAAACCCCATCCGATGGGCTGCCCCTGATGGCCACAGAGCAGGAACTTTTGAACTTGACACACCTTTTTGAGAGGTGTGGGGGGCAAAAGTGGGTCAATTCTTCAGGTGCCTATTCAGTGAATGATCAAGTTGCCAAAATGATCAAATCTATCTTTTGACCAGAAACTTCTTTCTTTTAGCTATGTATGAAGCTTAATGCAATTTGTAGTGGATAGAACAGTTTGAACAGCTTTCGAAGATTTCTGTAGTTCTAATTGACAGGTTTGCATTATTTCTCCCTAACAACAGCCTAGGCAAAGGTGGATGTTTCCTTACCTGGCTCCCTGTGGGGTGCTCAAGACGGTCTGGATTGGTGTTCCTTGAACTGGGGGATTCCGGGGGTGACAGGAGGACACCGAGGGCCAGAGCCCTGGAGTCTGGCCCTTGAAGTTCTCACTGCCTCTGTTAATCCATCGGTTCAAATTGTCATAGACTTTATCAGTAATTGATGGAAATAGATATTTTGTAAGTTTAGCAAATTCAGCGACTAGCTTGTCAAGTGATTTGCTCATTTAAGAGATGGGTTCTTCTGTCAATTGTCTTTTAGCAAACTGGTTTGAACCAGTAAGTTAAAGATGAAGTAAGCTTTGGGCAGTTGATGTAAACCTTATAACTTAATGGGGAAGACGTGGTTTGGGGCTGAGCTGCCTGTGTGAAGCCCTCATGCACTTCCTGGCTGTCTACTCTTTAGTAGGCACTTGGCTTCGGCGTGCCTCAGTCTTCCCATGCATAAAAGTGGAGTCATCATAGGCCTTTCCGCATAGACTTGGGGCAAGAGTCACTTGTTAACACCCTCAAGGTACTCAGAGAGCACTGGCATCACAATCATTGCCCCCCCTGCCCTGCCCCCACTCACCTAAGTGAACCAGCCAGTTCCCTTCAGGACCACACTCTACATACTCTACATCCTCATCCAGTCCTCCAGAGGAACCTTCACATTAAAGCAAACCGGGCCCTGAGAGCACACCTGTGTTGTAAGGTAGCTGCCTGCAGGATCCAGAATATGCACATATTCACGTGCAGATTATTATCTGAGTGAAAGCATGAAATACAAATGTTCTAACAGCACCTTTGAGCCCCTGACACTACAAAACAAACCAGTTTGAGATATATCCTCCTAGGAACAACAGACCCAGACAGGTAAGGCAGCAGGACAACAGACCAAGGGGTAGGGGAAGGGAAAGCCCATCATGCCACGTGAGTGGCCCAGGCTGATAGGGAGGAGGGAGAAGGATCAGAAGCCCAAGGAGCCCTCCTCCTGGGACCTCAGGGGCGGGAATACCCTGCTCAGTGGAGACTGCTTCTCTGTGGCTTTCTGGACAGCTGAAGCACCAGGTTCTCTAACTGCTGCTGGCCAACACAGGCTCCCCTCCTACCCTACCAGGCAGCAGTGAGCTAAACACAAACCACAGACCATCCTATCTGGTTCTCCACAATAAGAGCTCCGTGTCTAGAAGGCAACATCACAAGGAATCCCAAACACACATGTGCGCTAAGCAAAGCGAACAGAAAGTTCCCCAAAGACAGGAAAGCAAAAAAAAAGGAAACAATCTAACAGGAGAGCAACACATATACAGGGGTCTTCCCAAATACAGACACAACCGTGTGCAAAAGATTAAATGAGTCCAGAGATGAAGGGTGAACTAGGTCATCAGAATGTGACGGGGAGGGGGGTGCTAAAAAAAGAACTGGGGAGAAAAGTGATTCTCTGGCAGACTTTAAGAATGAGAAGACCAGAATCCGCGAGACAGGGAAGCATATGGTGACGTTGAAGTCGGTTGAGAGAAAAGCACTTACGATAAAGAGCAATAGGGGTTTGAAGTGGAGATGAACAGAAACTTGGTCCCCAGAAAAGAGAGAAGGCATGACCTTGACACCGCCGTCTCCTCCTCCAGAGCCACCGTTGTCACTAACAGAGCCTTCCTGGTACAGCGGCTCAGTGGTCACGGTCAAGGAGAGACAGGCAGCTTGACTCCAAGGTGGGCATGTGACACCCCTCCTGGCCAGAAATACTAAGAGAAGCTCACTGGGGGTTTCAGAGAATGACTTCCACCCCAACAGGAGGAAGGAGGGAGGGGAGAGAGGGGAGAAGCCCCTGCTCCTGCTGCCCACCGGCTCTCACCTCCAAAGGGCTGTATGGCCATGTGAGGCTGGAAACCCACAGAGGCCTGTCCCAGGGAAGGAGAGGCCAGGAGGGCCCCAACACTAAGGCCGGGCACCGAGTGCCGATCCAAATCCAGGGCGGTTGATCTCCCGGCTTAGAAATTACCAGGGAGCAGCAAGGGCGGTGTTAGAGCCCTGGGAAGCAGCAGTGTGTCCGCAGGCTAAGCCATAGGGAGCGGTTGCAGAGTTGGTTCCCTGGCTTGTTTCTTTTTGCTGAATGATGGAGTGTGAAGCATGGTTGGAAAGTAAGTCGCACGTGTGCAATGAGATTAGGGTTGAGACTTTTTGTTCAAGATATTCATAAACCATGTAAATGCAGGCATCTCCTCCCCTTCCCCAGAACCTTAAAACTACAGTAAGTTTAAGCATCTAAATCATGACATCAAAGAGACAGAGTGGCAAGTGCCCAGCAGACCAGAGGTGCCTGGAATCTCAGAGAGAGGGGAGATGGCTGCCTAGGTGGGCAGAGCCCGAGCCCAGACCAGTTACACCAAAATCTCTGGGGTCATGCCCAGGGAACAGTTAATGGCCCATCCTGGGGAGTCCATCATGCAACCGAGTCCGAGAATACCCACCAGGAATACACACGTGGGCGCAGCAGAGGTCGGAGCTGTCTACCCACAGGAACAACAGGGACCCCTAGCTCAGAGGGGCCATAGAGGAGTAGGAGGGGCTCTTGGGGCTAACACAGAGTCAATGCTAGGAGATCTGTGCATGAAACAGCTCCCAACCCACCGCTCAGCTCTAGGCATGGAGCATCCTGGAGCTGGGCATTGGCTTCTCAGACATCAACAAAGGAGCACTCTTCTAAAAAAAAACAAAAAAAAAAAACAAAAAACAAAATAGCACTACAGAGAACTCAGGGCAGCTTGTGTGCACACTGGAACCTTGGGCAAGCTTCTTTATTCTGACACGAAGGGGTTCATGGCATAGTAGCCAGTTCCCACCCCACCCTAAGAAGGATCCTGGTTGCCCACAGGGCGGCTGGGTTCTTTTTAAAATATAAGCGGAAAATCAAGGATCACCACACACGCAAGAAAAGCCAGCAGCATGAAGATCCATTGCAACCATGGGTGGTGGCCAAGGGGGAAGCATCAAGGCGTTAAAGCCCCTTAGCCTAGCAGGGAGTCATTCGGTTATGTCTCAGCTCGAATATGCCAGAAATCACCTTAGAAGCATTACCTAGATACAAAGAAGTAACCATAAGACAACTGAGACGGGAACCAGTAAATGTGGTTGCCTCTGGAAAGAGGAATTGGGGCCCGCAGGAGACTGAGGGCTCTTAGCACATGTGTACCGGCATGTGCACCTGTGATTTGACGCGCTGTGTATCTGTGCTATCATATAACATGCATATTTGATTGTGCACATACTAAAAAGAAAAAAAATCGGGCATAAAGCAGTACTGATGCACCTTGACTGTGCACGCAACTCACTCGGTAATGCGATTCAGAAGCAGATTCTGGTTCGGGAGTTCTGGGCGTCCGGGATCAGCAGACATGGGATAGAGAGACGTGGCTACAGCAGGATCCCGGGCAGAGGATGGGATGTAAGGGCTGAC